AGATAGAAATGTATAATTCTTGAATAGCTTAATCTCAAATAAACAGAGGCAGGATTGCCGAATTATAAAAAAAAATATTCTTTTATTTTTGGACACCTAATTTAGAACTTTAAAACAGACTTATATCCTATAGAAAGCTCTTTGTCTTTAAAATAAATCTGCTAGAGCTTTCTGTATTTACAGTCTGGCTAATTTAAGTTTTGGTAACTTATATTAAGTCTGAGGACTAGTAATCCAAATTAAAAATTAATTAATCATTATTACAGATTAAAACAAAATCTGATCAAAACAAAATTTTTCTGTTTTTTAAGGAAAATTTAAAAATTTTTAGGAGACATTTTTTGGGGTTCTTTTTAGCATTAGAGTAGGGTTTAGGATTAGGTTTATTAATAAATAAGTATATATAGGTTTTATAGGCTCTAAGGGTGGGTATAAGAAGTCTCTAATTTTATTTTGATCAGATTTCATTTTAATCTGTAACAATCATTTAGTTGATCAAGTTGGCAACTAATTGACTAGCTAAAATAAACTAACTATTAATTGATTAACTAACTAATCAATAATTAATTAATTAATTAATTAACTAATCAACTAATTAATTAATTAATTAGTTAATTTTAGTTCAAATAATATAAAATGTGCCTATAGTGTTTATAGTGTTAATAAGTTTTTAGCTAAAATTTAGGATTAGGATGCAACTTTAGAGTAAGATAGAGGTTAGATATAAAGGTCCAAATTTTAGTTAGTATAAGGTTTTTGGGGGTTCTGAACATTTTTACTTAGTACCTCTGAGAGATGTTAGCTAGTACATTTTTGAAATATAGCTAATTATGGTGTTCAACACCGTAGATGCATTTTAGTAGCATTGAATTTAAATATCAATTATATAGCAATTAATAATAAAAGAAATAAATATAGCATAGAAGAGTATGATCTTAGCAATTTGTCATTTAAATATATTGTGTATATTTATATCATAATTGAGAATGAAGAATTTGCTACTGGTATATATTATATAAATATTTATTTTTTATTAATTTCTTTAATAATATTAAAAATATTATTTATTATAGGAGGTATGCGAAAAGCTTTTAAAGCCAAGATTGAAAAAAATGGAACAAGTAATATATTTTTTGATCCATCTAATATACTAGTTGTAAAGCAGTATATTAAATGTAGAAAAGATATAGAGAAAAATTATAGAAGAGATGTCATTACTATTTTAACAGCTAAATCCTATCTCCATAAATTTTAATCGCTTATAAATGAAAATAGGTATACTATTTCTAATGGATTTGAGTAAGTTAATTAATAATATTAATACTATTAGTTTTAACTAAATATAAAATTAATTTTACTATTGCATAATATTAAAAAACTACTTAATTTTAACTTTTAATTTACTAAAATATTTTAAAATATTATGTAAAGTAAAATTAATTCTACGTTTAATTATTATATTTATTTAATTACTAAAATTTATTTTAAATTATTTAGTTTTGTATTTACATATTTTATTCAATCAGTTGAAACTCGTAGTCGATGTTATACAGTTGAGGCATTAATGCAAGGCAGTTTTCACAAGTACAATGGTAATAACAGTTACATGACTAAAGAAATATCAAATTCAAATTATCATTGGATACAATCTTTTTCGCACTTTACCTATCAATATTCAAGAAAAAATGCATTAGTTGTAGACATGCAAGGATGTGGAAAGTTATTTACTGACCCCAAATTCATACTTCTTATATTGCAGAGCAAAATCAATTTTCGATTGGTAATAGATATATGGATGGAATAACTGATTTTTTTGTTACACATAATTGTGACAAATATTGTAAAAAATTAAATTTAGAAAAATTTAGTTCTAATTAATTATTTTTAGTCTTTTATAAATTTTATATTTATAAAAGAATTAAAAATATATTAATTACATAAATATATTTTTGATCATTTAGTTCAATAAATCCTATATCAATTTTTCGCTTATTAGTTTTTGTAATTTCATATACAGTTATTCGCAAATATGTGTAATGAAGTTTAAAACATTATTCGTTATATAACTTTAGCGAATATTTACTACGTACACTTTAACAATTAATAAAATAAAAGAAAAAAATACGTAATAATAAATATTTTTATTATATTTTTTAATACCGAATTTTAATATAATAGAACTTATGTTTGAGTAAATATAAATGTAATATTTGTCGTTCCTATGTTGATTTGCAGTTTTTGTAATACGTAATAAGAATTTAATAAAAAGTAGCTTTTATACATAACTAATATTATTTTAAAATTGAAAAATTAGAGAGTATTAATGATAGTCTTTCAAAACCTGCATTCCCGAAATAATACAAACTTCAATTGATATACCACTAGAATGATTTATCTTTATGTCAGTGATTGCAATTAATATGAAACTAGAAAAGACATTCCTAGAATGGACCCGGCATTTACATATTTATCGTTGACCTAACTGTATGTAACTTTAAAAAAATTATTTGTACTTGGTGTTCACGCTAATTGTAAACTTTTAGGTCTAATGTTGCCAATTATTAGAGATGATCATATATAGCTCATTGTTGTTGATTAAACAATTTACATCAGAAACATGTTCTTAATTTGTTAATTTATTTAATTATTGATTTGTTAGAATAGTGTAACCGATAATGTTCAAAAAAAGATCCGGAAATCCGTAATTGTTCATACTATACATTCTCTGCGAACGATCGTCCACCGTGTGATAATATTTCGATAAGCTTGCTATTTTTATAGCATTCGTTTAGACCAAATTGAAGAATAATTTAGTCATTCTTAAATACTGAAAAAAGTTGTTGCATAGTATTTTTCCGGATTTTCTTTGCGACAACTGGAGTGTTAGGCATTATTATTTATTTTATTGATGGCCTAGTGCAATCTTCACGTAAACGTGACTAAATATGAACTTTATGATTTTAGTGTTAACGTCATAAAAATTGGGAACTTTTTTGTTCAAAACGGTTAACAATATGAAGGCATTATTTAACAGTTAATGCTGTAATGTGATAATAAATGACGATGGATGATGCTGAAATTTGGTGTCTGATTTGAAAATATAAACCTTACTTATACCCTTATACCTTTTATTATGAACTCTAACCATAACTCCTAACTTTAAACAAATAAGTTCAAATTTCTGCATCATCAGATAATAATGCGTTAAATAAATTACAAATTTTACACAATAAGATTCAATCAATCAGATTTCATAAATAGTACCATCCCGATATTCCTCTATTTTTCTGAATTAGAATCGAGTAATTCTTGTATGCCTTTATATTTTGATTAAATAAGTTTTGATTTTTCTTGAATTAAATTCATTAAACTGATTAAAATTAATATTGCTATCTTTGTTTTTAAAATAAATTTTTATTATTAAAAACTTAACTTTGTGTGGCCTTATCTATTATTTTCAAAATTAGATTCCCGTACGTTAATTCTGAAACCTCTTATTGAATCTATTATGCCGAATAACAAACTTAGTTGAATTAGCCGAAAATCATTCTGCTAATGCTTATCAGGTGCTTTAGGCATGGAAACAAACTCAAGGTCGAGAAAGTTTTCGATACAAAATCAGAAAAGATCCAGTTTAAATATTTGTGTACAGGCTGCTCTGTATGCTAATCGCTCTAATTAAGGCCGTTCTCAAGCGCTTCCCTCAATGTAATTAGCTAGTCATCAAGGTGATGCTCAAACACTACGATCAATTGAAATAAAGATTGCGATCGGTGCTTGAGCTATCTCTTTCTCCAATTTCCATTATGGCTCCAAAAAGGCGATTACTCAGTTACCTAAAAATTTAGGACCCAAGACTTTGGTGTTTGAAATTTGCCTTCAGCCATCCTCTTAAAAATTTCACAAATAACTTACCATTGCAACAGAAGCCACAAGTCATTAGGGCAACAATCATATTCGACAACTCAACTTTATATAGATTTGTTAATGTTGAACGAAGTGATATCGAAATATAGTGAAGCATGAACGTTATTTTAATAAAATATATACGACATATAAAAAAATTTTTGTTTTATTCTTTGAATATTAAACGTCTTTTATTTATTTTTGGTAGCGATGACGTCTTGAATGTACATAATGTTCCAAATTGGCTAAGCCAAACATGTATCCAACTACCCCAGTGGCACCGACAGATTTTCACTGATCGACGTGTAATCAAAACAAAAAACAACATTTTTTAAAAAAAACCGCCGTAACTCAAAATTTTGTCTATGTAACCGCCTTCTGCGCATTAGTAAAAAAATTTCCTTGCAAAATTTTAGTATAAAACAAGCCTCGTTATTATTGTAAACCTGAC